CCTGAGCAGCCATGGTGCCCGCCCCACCCAGCGCCCCGTCCTCCCTCTGTCTGAGGCCCTGATGGAGAGTGGGCGCCCGTCTTCCTGCATCGGCCTGGGGAGAGCCGAGCAGGCCCGGAAAGCTGCCAGTGCTCAACCCAGTGACCGCTGCCAGGACCCGGCGGGAGGTTGGCCGCTGGGACCGACTGGGCATCCAGGTGAGAGGCCTTGGGGCGGGCGGGGTTGCCCTCGCCACCCTCCGACCTCGGGCATCTGTGTCTCCTTTTCTCTCTGACCAGGACCGGGCCACTGGCTTTAGGGTCCAGCCCAACCCGAGGAGCACACGAGGCCTCCCGCCGCCATCTCTGAGAACTGCTTTTCCAAATGAGCCTCGTCCTGAGGTTCTGGTGGACCCGCCTCTCAACCCCCCAACAGGAGGTGGTCAGGGTGCGGCCCGGCCCGGCCCGGTGCCTGGTGCCCGGAACTGACTCAACCTCTTCCAGGAACGCTGTCACTTCACACTGTCACGTTGTGCATTTGTTTCCAAGTGCCCCATTCCGCTAAGATGTCCCTGCCTCTCAGCTGCTCCCTGGGGCCTCCATTCCCTGGGGCGGAGGCCCTGGCTCCCTCCATTCCCTGTCCCCTGAGCCGAGCACAGGACCGGACGCTGAGCTGGGTGTGTGGGTTGAGCCCCCCCGCTCCAGCCTGGTGGTGCCTTGTTCAGGTCGCAGTCGTGTGTGGCTGAACAGCGGGGACGCCATCTGAGAAATGGGCGCTGGACAACTTGTCCATTGAGCGAACGTCCAGAGGCCCTCACACCTGGACGGCGAGCCTCTGCCACCCGGGCCGTGCGGGGAGCCTTCGCTGCTCTGCAGCCCTGACAGCAGGTTGCCGTGCTGAGCGCCGCGGGCAGTGGTAGCACAGCCGTGGGGAGTTGTGCCCTGAACACAGAAGGTGCGGGGCGTGTGGTGTGGGAGTCGGCATGGTGGTGCCGCGGGCTGGGCCGCCCTGGGGGTCGGGACTGAGGAGTGGGCGGGCCAGGACATGCTGCACGCTGTCCATTTAGACGACACGAAACTTATAAAAAAATAGTTTCCTTTCTTCAATGATAAATTAACCTTCGCTTTCTCTCCCCTTTTTACTTTGTAAACTATTTGTGTTGTTGTTTTTTTGTGAATCCTCACCCGAGGGTATTTTCTCTTGATTTTTAGGGAGAGTGGGAGGGAGAGGGACAGAGAGAGACATCAGTG